AAATTACTGGTTTGCATTTCCAGATATACTCAAATGTACACACTTCTTAAGAGCTCTGTACTGTTCCCAAGACGACTTCTCAAATATTTTCATCTCAAGGCTTCTTATAAGTTGATTTCCTCATCCAGGCTGTTGGAAGGTTTTAGTGCTGTGCATAATTTAAAAGCAGTAGCTGCATATTGTTTGTGTTTAAGGAACAACATTTTTTTATTCAAGGAGCATTAATGCTGTGCTATATTTGGCAATGCACAGTGCTCTTTTTGTCCTGAAACACAGATCTGCAAGAAACTTGACTAAAGAAATAAAAATTTTTAAAATTTGTGATTATGAAAAAGCATAAAACTTTTATCCTTGGACTTGAGGGAATAGGAGAAAGAGTTGTGGATTAGCCACTGTCAGTAGTAATTCAGCATAGTCACCAAATACAAAATAGTTCCAATTCAGTGCAGTACAGGTAATCTAAGCATCCACAAACTTCTAAACTGGTTGCTGGATTTATGTCCGTGCAGTTCTGGATAAAATTATTTCAGGAAAGTTGCTTTGTATTTTGCATGGAGCACTCTCAGTCAAGCATTTCCATGAATGATTTTGATCCTGACAATTATTTCCCTCTTCAGGCTTGATGGTGGCACAGGAATCTCCTGTTTAGAAGATTTGTAGATGTGCAGCCGTGTATTTACATTACTGCTAAACCCTCCTGCACTTAATGCCGTGTGGAAGAAAATTTGCTGGGGTGCTGGGAACAATGTTCATGCTTTTGCAGAGTAGAACTGCAGTGAAGTTCGAGGTTTTTGTCATTTCCAGGAGATGGCATTACTGACACAACATTGCCCACAATAATCTTGCTCTGCCAGGGAGCAGAGTGCCCTTTCCTGCAGCTGAAAGAGCAGTCAACACTAGTGCCAATGAGCATTATTTAGTCTTCTCAAGGGGGAGCTAACCTCTCTTACCTAACATTGTCACGTCTGTATAGGATGTTAGTATTTCCCAGCTAAAGCACAGTGGTTTCTACAGAGGGTTGCTACATTAGAAATTGCATATTTTTTAACTGATCTGACTTACATGCACAATATGTTGAAATGCCATGAAGAGAGAACAGTCTAGTAGAGGTGGGGCTTTGCAGGTGTCTCCCTTCTCCCATGTAGACAAAGCAGACAGAGCTGTGCAAAACCTGAAGAACTACTTTAATTTTTGTTCCACATGCAAATATGCATATGCTGTGGCATATGAGCATGGTTCTGTGGTCAAGGTCATACTGTCAAATTGGACAGGAAAAGTCACAAGTCTCTTACAGCTGGTTTTTTTTTCCAAGCAGTTTGCAGACTTGGGAGTCAATACTGCATCCTTTATGTCGCAGTTTATTTCTGGATGGTTATTGCAAACTAGCAGTTGGAAGTTAGCTAATTGAATGTGTTTGATTTTGGGACAGAAACCTGCAGTGAGCTTTGAATTCCGCAACAGATACTGATACCACAGATGCCACAAAATAAGCAAAATCTGGAGTGTAAGATAAGAGACGGTGGTTGCTTCCCAAGAATGCTTATATTCCATTCCTTGGCAAATAATTAATGACAAGTTTTTGAAATCCTAGTTTTTGTAATGACTTTATCAAAATTCCTACAGAGTCCCAGTACAGTGCACCTTTTCTTATGAATTTAATCTCTGTCTTGTCTGTGTGTTTCATGTGAGGAGGGAACCCGGATGCTTGCCAGTTTTCATTCCTGTACTGGCTTGGCAAAGTGTAATTGTAAAGTGCAATTGTTTAATATGTAGCTCACTCACTAAAACCCCAAGGATCAAGGCAGCGAGTAATATGAGGCATTACCAGAGCAGTGGTATCTGAAAAGATGAAGAGTCATGCATCAAGTACCAATCCACCTAGTCTTGAATTAAGAATTTTTTTTAAAGCCACTAGTTGGATGTGATTGATATTATTTCCAAGCAAATTAAAGCAGTTACCTTGCAATGCTGTGCTGCTTCTGCTGTTTTTCTCCTTTGTTATTAAAAGTGCTGCTGAGTTACATGTCCCCAGTGCTCTCTTTGTCTGTCTGAAACACTTGCAGACCAGCAGCTTTCCCAGGTACCATCTGCATCTCCCTTCCCATTCCAGGCACTACATGTCTTCATGCCTGAGATTCAGAAACTTAGTGCAGAAAATAGGAAGAACTCTGCTGATGTGGTCAGCTGAGGTTTAAACTTGTGAATTTTATTTACACCTTCCCCACCCCCCCAGACATCCAGATTTCAACAACTTTCTTAGTTTTCTTTGTACTAAATCATAAGGGCTGGAATAGATTTTTTTTTTCTCCATTTCATTACAGTGAGGAACTTGTTGGTCCTGGACAGACTAAGACTATGAATGACTGGAGCATTAGCATTTCCATCATCATTTGGAGCTATCACCTTACTTTTTACATGTTTTGAGATGTGCAAGTGCCTACACCAGATCAGTGCCCTGAGGTTGTATGTAGCAGTCTGATGGGGCACCCAGGTTTAACACAAAAATGATTTATACATGCTGATAAATCAGTGGTTATACTTTGCTTCCAAGGTTTCCTGTGGGAACAAAAATGACAGGCTTCCTGAATTACAGTGAAAAAAACCCAAAGAACAAAACAAGGCACGTGCTGGATATTTGTGTAGCTCCCTTGAAGTCAACAGAGATTTGACAGCATTGCACTAGCTGGGATCTATGATTAGAGATATTAAATTGTGAGTGATATTATTGACAGCATGAAATAATACACAATAAATGGGAACATCAGTCTGCAACTCTGCTCATGGACCCCTTTTATAAGGTACTGTACTGTACAGTCATGTATATTTAATTTGTGCATCAAGACCACACCAGAGTCTTCAGCTGTGACTCGATGTCTCTTAAATGAGGGGCTATGACCCACAATGTCTGCTCCTGTGTGTTCCCTGGCTAAAATTATTCCAGGAACTATAACAGCAGACTACAGATAATCTTTACATTTTAAAAATCAGGTATGTATAGTCCATTTCTGCCTACCAATTTCTGTCTTTATATCAATTTCTCAATTGATATATAAATTTGCATCTTTCAGATGCAAATTTTTAACTCAGTGCTTTATGTAACTGGACAAGCCCTTGGAACACTGGCAACACCATTAGGGCTTTTCTCCTTCTTTTGCAGAGTGGGTTGTTTTTCATTTTACTTGTGATTACTCATAGGATCAGTACAGCACATGGTGTATACCTTGGAGAGTCCCTTTAAAATAGTATTTTGGTGGTTTGCCCTGTATTATGTAGAAACAGATAAGATGTTTACATTGCTAGCCTTGGAGCCTGTGGAACACTGCCATCTTGTTTAGGGATGCCAGACACAACTGAGAACAGCAGTGCCTTCATGAGATTCATTACAGGACTGAGGTTTTCTGAGTGACTCCATCAAATGACTTGAAAAGAAGCAGCTGTAGATTGAACCTGACAATGTCAGATGTCGGAGTAGGTGATGCAGTAAGAAACAACCCTGTCATATTAGATCAGGGGTTTACAGGTCACAGATCTAGAAAAAGTATACATTTCACAGCAGAAATTATCTGTAAGGTGCTCCATTTTTATACTTGTTTTTGTGGAGACTTGGGTATCACCTTTAAACTCAGGCACACAAAATTCTTGAGGGCACTACATTAAATGACAAAATAGAGGGGTTTTTTTTTCCTTTTTTTCCTGTTTGGTTGAGCTGGGAATCCTCAAGAACCGAAATCTGAGGTTTAACTCTACTACAATCCTTGAAGGTAGCTGCACTGTTATGGAAAGTGTGAAGAATGAATGAGCTGTGCTTCTGAAGGCAGACTTTAGGAAGCCACACAGTTGTGCAGTTGTTACAAAGCTCTGTGTGGCTGTTGTTCTCATAGGACATCTAGAACTTGCATCATGTTCTGAAAACTCAAAGACATGCAAAAGCTATGGAACATATCCCCTGAGAGATGAAGAGCACTGCCATATCCAGCAGGCACTTCTGTGTTCCCAACCAAGAGAAAATGCCCCTAAGTCTGGAGAACTGTAGGAAGAGATCTGCAGCAGGCAGACAGGAAGGCAGTAAGTGGGGATTTTTTCACAGTATCTTTCACATTGCTTTCAGACCTCTGAACATCTGTTATTAAAACTAATATAACAGAAAAAAATTATATATGTAGGTTGAAGATTTGTAGTACATGAGTGATTGCAGTGGTTTAACTGTCAACTCACTGCTCTTTACATTTTGGTGTTGACTGAGAGCCCTTTGTTTCTTTAAGTTTGTACATAAATGAGAGGGACTTTGTTGTTTTGCTTGGTTGTTTGGGATTTTGTGGAAAGAAGTTGAGTGTCTCCAACACTGAGATTTGTTGTGAAAATTACTTTTGTTTTAATTGCTATGTGTTGAAATGTTGAGAATTAAGCTCTTCCCTTTCAAACCTTGACTTTCCTGACATGAGCATCTTTGTTCAGCATTTCACCCCGAAAGACTTTTTGTCTTAAGTGATAGTAGGGAAGGATGTATTTTCTTTCCTCAGTGTCCAGCTTGCCCCTGCTCCTCTTGATGAGGGATAAGGGACAACTGCCCATCACTTTGAAGTGGCCAAATCGTCCTAATCAAAGTGTTAATTGTGCCAGAATCAGTTGGAAGAGTCTTAAACATGTTTCTGTCTTTTCTCATTCATGAAGTTACATACTGATGAGCTGATGGGAGAGTATAATTATTTGTAGCAGATAAAGATCTCCAATTGTGCTTTTTAAATGTAAAAGTAACTTTTTATGTTTCATTTCAGTTGATCTTTAGCAGGTTTGCTAACCTTGTGTAGGTCTAGGTAGGTTTAATTCTGATTTATTGTTTTAATAATAGATAGAAATAAAACCGGTGCAACTGCACCAAATCAGAGCTTGACTGCAGTGAGGCAAGCCCTCCTGCATGGGAGGCTTCTGGGAATCCTGTTTCTAACAATTTGGGTTGAGTAATTCATTGCCAATATAAGCCAGTCAGTGAGAGTCTTTCGATCAGTAAGTGTTTATTATCATCTCATATAAATAGGAACAGTTTGGAGCATGAATTGGATATTCTGGTTTTTAAAATCCGCTTGCCACAGTTCAGCTTGGCTTAGTTTCTCGGGCAGGTGGAAGCTGAATAAATACAACCAACATTCAATTCCTGCAACACAGTTCACATCTAAATGGCTCTGGAAAAATTAGTTTCACTTTCAGCCCAAAATCCCGGAATTTCCATTAAAAAGTTTTCTCATGTATCAGTTAATAGACTTTTAAATATTGCAGGTTAGTGAGTGAGAAGGAGTCAGTAAAGTCAATAAATTACTTCCACTTACTGATGTAACCTGGCCTATAGCTTAGTAACGACTCTGATAATGTTGATGCTCCAGAAAATAGCTTTATTTTCCCAGTTTCTGTGTCAAACCCAAAGGTCATGCACCAGGTTGTCTCGAGGCAATGTGCTATAGGCTGGTAAGTGGTCCCTCAGCCTCTCCTCCTGCTGCTGTGCTCACGGCAAGGATGAGAGGGCTCAGGGAAAAGTGTGGTTTTTTGTGCTGTGGCACATAGGTGGTGGCTTGCAGGGACTTGCCTGCTCCATACCTTGGCTGGCAGCTCCAGCCTGCCAGAGAGGGTGAAGCCCCAGTAGCTGCCCTGCTTAGGTCTCGCCTTTTTTGGCTGAAGATGTTTTCCCTTTTTTTGTTTCTTAGCAAGTGTTTGAAATGCTTTGTCAGTCTGCCTGCACCTCACTGCTCCCCGGTGCTGCTGCTTGCTGGCTTGCTGTGCTTCAGGCCACCAAATATTTGGGTTCATCAGGCCGGAGTTTCATGATCTTGTCCATGCAGAGCAGGATGAGGGTCAGAAACCAGAGGCTCCAGCCGACGGCCGCTGCGATCCAGCCGTAGTCATCCATGCCCGAAGGGCAGCACGTGGCCGCCTGCCTGCAGAAGTTCACGTCTGGTGGAGGAGAAATGAAGTGAGTTCACGAGAGGCCAAGTACGTGACAGGTTTCCTTTATTAGAGAAGGCAGATGACTTCTGCCCTATCACTCTGCCTTGGCATCTTTACCCTAAACCTGGCTCTTAACCTGGTGGATGACTCTGAAGTAGTGGTGGGATCTTGGGTTGTTTGGGGCTGGCTGTTTGGGAACGACCTGGTAGGGCAGGGGAAAGAGGTGCTCTTGGAAACCTGTATAATGCCCACAGCCAGGTAGTCTGGCAGGGAGCTTTAGGACACAAATTAGCTATCAATTAGTCTGTTCAAAGCTATAAGCCTGTCTCAATGTACCTAAGATATCATACCATGACAGAGGAGAAGTCTTAGAAATGCATCCTAGAGGCTGTCCCACAATGGAAGACTTGAGAAGAGAGAAATTCTTTCCAGGACAGCCTCAGTCACTGTGTAGACTCATAACTTTAACAGGCAGCAATGATTTATGAAGACTTACTAAGACATGGTGGTTCATACTCAGTTGTTGAAACATTGGAGATGTCTTCAGCTGCTGCCAGAAGGAAAGCACAGGAGAAAAGGTAAGTTAGATTAGAAAAGTGATCTTTGGCATCAAGCAGGAAAATCTGAAACCATTTGCCTTGTAGAGATCTGTAGGATGGAAACAACTTGAAGAAAGTAAGTTCCTGCCCCTAAACATTACTGCATTAGGATATGCTTCCTTATCCCACCACTTTTAACACTGGCTCCAGAGACTTACTGTAGCAGCATCCCTCAGGAGCAGGTGAATCACTGCACCTCTGCCGTGGTGTGACCCTGGCTGAGCTGTTCTCTTGGAGCTTGAATTAACCACTGTCCTTTCTCAGGCTACAGGGGCAGAACGAGCAAGCATGGAAATGGGAGAGACCGTTCAGTGGCATGGAGAGATCCATGGCCAGCAGGCTGTACCTCTGCTTCCTTTTGCCCTTAGAAAAATCCCAGGGTGCACAGGAGTCTGGCAGAGCTGAGGGCTGAGCCCACCTTTGCGGAGCCTCGGCAGGTCCACCAAGGCCCTGGGGGGAGCTTTGGTTTGCTGAGCAGGTCAGAGCATCTGGAACTGCTCTGGCTGGACTCCAGTTCATACCAGCAGGGTGACCAACTCAGGTTGGAAAACACAACATCCAGAAGTAAGTAATGAGGGAGTTTTGGTTAAGGTTTTGCCTCTAACCTGCTTCCTACACAGAATCAGCACACACACACACACACACTCTCTGACACAATTCTGTGGCTGGTGTCCAGCTCTCCAGATCTGCACATGGTGTCACAGTTCAAACCCCCCTTAGTCCTCCTAATACTGCCTTGCCCCTCAGCCTCAGCTTGCTTCCTGTAGCACTGCAGGATCAAACCAGGACAGCTGCAGGATGCCTGCAGGGGTAAAAGCACAAGCTGCACTGCTCCCTGTGCATCAGCACCTGTCTGTCCCCCGCTGCAGAAGGGAGGGAGTCAGAGAAGCACCTCTTCCTGTGCTGCCTGAGCAGCACAGTTCAAATTCAGCTGGGTAGAGTATCCCCTGCACAGATAGATGAAAAATAGTCTGGGGAGGCTCCAGTTAGTGAGGTCTCCAGCTGCATGGAGAAGCTGTAATGTGCTGCTGGTCCACAGACCAGGCAGAAGCTATGAGAGAATAGTTTCCAGTCAAGCCATCACTCTGAGCTTGTAATTTGGAATGTAATAGAGAAAATTAGTTCCAGGTTGTTTTCACTGAAGACTGCAAAATAATGCTCATGTTTAGTTTCAGCTGAGGAAAACAAAACAGAATGAGACATTTGACCAAAGATTTACTTTGAGTTTGGTGTTTTCCAAGTAACAGTAAGTAAACTGAGGTTGTCCTTTGGGATATGTTCCCCTTGGGGTCACCTGCTGTTGTCTGCTGTGTTTTGAGCTGACTCACCACCAGCAATACCAGAACTTTCCCTATAGTCTCTGCCATGCTCAGAGTGGGCCACTGGGCAACCTGCTTCAGAGAAGGGTCTGAGTATTCCCCATTCTTCTGTCTGACTCTTGTAGGATTTGCAGAATGACCTTGGCCAAGCCCATAATTTGTTTTCTCGGTTAATAAGTGTCTCACAGAAGCACTGAGAAAAATCATTAAAACCTGCGTGTGACCTGCCAAAGGAAGTACTGCAGAATGCCGAGCGCTGGTTTGTGTTATAGATCTTGCAGCCCAAAGAACAGACTGTGAAAGCCAGCCCATCTTTAAACAGGTCTCATCTGGTGCTGATATACAAATCAGGCAGTAAGCTGGTGGGAAAGGAGCAGCTCAGAGGTCTCATTTACATTTTGGTTTCAGGCAACTCCTACAAATAAGGTGGCACCAAAGCCACATTTTTTTGCAAAAAGCTTGTAATGAAAGCTAAATCGGACTACAGTGGTCCTGATGGGTGGCAATGCAGGTGATCCTTTGCCTCAGCAAGCAGGAGAAGGCCAAGTAACTGTGGTTCCTGTCTCCTTGCCTTTCAGTGGAGCAACCTGCAACTCAGTAGCATTTACGGTGGCTCTGTAAATAGCTGGCAAAAGAACATCCCTTTACAATGATGCTGTGATCAGTCATGTCTAGTAATTCTCATTACCGTTAATTAATTCCAGCTCTTTATACTTTTTAGGTGAAGCGAGGGAGTGCCCCCTCATTTTTAAAGAGCAAATTACTGTCGGTGGACAATATACATGTAGGTATTGAGAGGAGTGAGGGAAAGGGGCAGGGTATCCAAACTGGAGCATAAGAGAAGAGAAATACCTGCTGAGCAGGAATCCCAGAGGGCAGCGGTGAGGAGGAGCACAGCGAGGGCTGCCAGGGGCTCACAGGAGAAGTGCTTCATGCCGAGGGTCCCACTCCAGTGTCCCCGCAGAACAGGTCGCTCTCGCTGGCTGATCTGGTGCAGCAAATCCTCGATGAGCTCAGGGAGCTGCTGTGCTGGGCAGAGGGTGGAGCAAGGGAGCTTCCTGCTGCCAGGACACCTTGAACTTTCCTGCCACAATCAGATGAGGAAAGTGAAGGGTTCTGACCAAAACAACTTCAGTGGGAGGTGGATACCAGGAGGTGGCCCCTGAAGGTTAAGCCTGAAGGTTTCTCCCCAGAGTTTGCTGCAGCTAGAAGGAGGAAAGGCCTCCAGAGCCAGCCCTTCCCAAGAGAGTCCTAGGCAGCTTCTGTCTTTTGAGTCTCTTTTTTGGTCCTGTGAAGATGGTTTAATAGAGCTGGAAAGGAGCAGAGACTTTGGCTCCCAGTTTGGCTACATTTTTTTTTTTTTTTTTTTTTTGCATGTTCACTGGCTT